ATTGGGATAGGTCAGAAATTTTACGGGGCTTTGATGAATTCTGAAAAAAAATAAAGTCAATGCTACTCTTACCCGTCTGATAGCAGGCTGTGGCCAACGGAAAAGGGAGCATAAGGTTTAAGCTTTTCCATACATGTAATTAATTTATTAATTTCAGTAATTTCTAATCACGTAAAAATTTTTTCGAATAAATTTGTTGCTAAGTTAGCTCACCCTTATTCTGCAAGATCACTTCAAAAAATAAATGAAATTCGTGATAGTTTCAAATTATAAGCTATGGATGCGAGCACAAAGTGAAACTAGGAGGGGGCTGCTACTTTTTGCTTCTCATTATTCCCTGTAAAGCTCGTGTTTACGGCCATTATTTTTCCCAGACTTCACCTTTTGTCCGTCAAAGCGCGCTACTTTTTAGCGAGAGTCTGTACATTCCACTTGTCGAGAACAAAATTGAGCCGTCACGCAACTTCGCCATCGCTATATGAGTCAGGCTCTCGAAGCATTTTACTTTGTATCTTTATGAACCATATATATACGAATAAGCGCCGAGTAGATATGTTATCCGCTTTCTTGTGTCACAATCTTTCAAGAATAGCGAGAATTTTGTTGCATTAGAAGGTTTGGCAAACTTTCACTTCCTCATCCCGTTTTTTTCTCTCTGAAACAAACTATTAACCTTCTCAATATTCCATTACCAAACAGTACAAGCATGGAACATCTAAAATCTGTTTTTTTACTTGCTTTTCGCCTCCAACCTTGAGCGATTTGCATTTTGCCACGCCATAAATTGTGGTTTCGCAGTGTCACCTTCCTCTTCTTTGCACTGTATACGGATTGAAGTCTTTTCTCTCGTTTTTTGGGTTCTTTTATTGAACTTCAAAGGTGATAGTAATCTACCGTAAATGCCGGCAGGTCTTGCCCTCAACTCGTCGCGATCGCGCAATCAGGTCATGAAAACTGCCAACGCCTTCTCTAGGTTCCCCAAAGCGATCAGTCTGGCGCTCTCCAGATCTGACAGCCGAGCTAAGAACTTGGCACCAGATGGTGATCGAAAAAAATCCGAAAAAACTAGACAACTTCAAATTTTGGGCCCAAAAGATTGACCCTCCGGCAACCTCGTGAACTATTTTGTCGAGATTTCTGCCGCGATCCCCTCATTCTGCCGGCATCTCGTTTCGTATCAGAAAAGCACGGAAAATAGTGTGCTTATTGAGGAGTGCACCCTGCTGGCATCTCGCCGTGCTTCGACCATGTCATATGTCATAAAGTTCGTGGCATTGATGTGATACAGCTCGTACCACTGGTCAGCCAAAAACTGGCTTGACCCTGTCGGGCTCCTTTCAATATCTCGTCTAACTGTTATGCGTAAACCAGTAGCCTCACGGACGAGGATTGTTCTAGACTGATCATATTGGACGTGCCGGCTGACAGCTGATGTGATGTCACGATCCGGCAGAATCCGGGGAACTTGTTACCAGCTATCTATGTTCAGTTTGCTTAGTTTCAATTGACAAAGAAGGCTTGAGAGAAAACGCTCCTACACGAATGGCTAGCTCAGCGGTGCACATGTACCTACAGGGCTTATCAATTGAAGTGTCGGGTGCGCCAGCATCTCCACTCCCGCAACATACTCCCTGATCACTTATAACCGAATGAGGCTCCGCCTTTCACTTTCCCTCGCCTTTGGAAAGTGCTTAGAAAGCATGTTCCGCGTAAGAGATGCATAGTCCAGTGCAGAATGGAGATGCTGGTGCACCCGACACTTCATTCGATAAGCCTTGTATGTGTGATGAACATGTCAATGCGAAAGTGATTGGTGAACTTGATTAACCTTTCTGGAATGAGACCTAATATACGCTGTATTTCAATGGTTAACATGCTGCCTTTCGTTGGCCAAATAAGAGTTCCATTCCACAAGGCGCAAGCTTTGCGATTGACTTCAAGTTGCCTTGTGATTATCTCTATTAAGAAGTCATAGACTCGCGAACCTCACACCCAAAACATGAGCTTGTCATGAAATTCACGAGCACGCCGTCATGTCTTATGCCAACATGCCGGGTGGATTACTATCACACTAAAAGACTAATTTTTCTCTTTCCTGGAAATCGAACCTTTAATTTCTCGTTCAGTAAATGTCTTCATCCCCGTAACCTTTGCTATTACTTCGGCTGTGTTCGCTAGTCCCTACTCGCCTGTCCTCATCATCCTTTTTCTTTTTGTACCAACTTCCTAGATTTTGTATCAATGTAACTTGCTTTGATCCATCACTACCGTTTCCTGCTCGACTCTTAGCCTTCACTAATATGATGTAGTCCATAATAGCCCAAGGAAATATTCAATGCGCAAAACACTCCTTTTTTTGAAAAATATACCTGCAATGTGTTAATGTGGCAGTTTACAACAATTTTCATATGTACAAAAATCTACCGAGACACATGAACAGGCTGTGTACTCTAAAAAAAACGTGCACGGTAGATTCTGCTGATAAAATTCCAAAAAAGGTATGTCTGGGTGTACAAGCGCTCGGTGAGTAAACTTGCAGTTTTTCAGTGCTACAGCGAAGTTGAAAATGTAGTGAATATATGTTGATCGTAGCCAAACATCTGAGAAGTCTCTTTTTGTACGTTCGAACTAATATTCCATCCTTATGTTCATCGTAGAATGTCGTCGCTTGCATATGGAGCCTTCCTAGTTCATAGTATTATGTAGCTTGCACTGGAAATTCAGGAAAAATGGGGAAAATCTGCATGAATGGTTCATTGCAGCGCAGTCAACCGGTACCTTGATTATAATACCTTTTCTTGGAGAGGAAAAATTGCAGATATTAGGTCACAGTCTTATTCTTCCTCAAGGCCTACTCTACAAAAAACATTGTCTTAAAATCTATTCAATTTGTAACCGGAATATCACAACGGGTTCGCAGCGGATACACTCTTTGAATAGCATTTTTTGACGCATTAGCTTCACGATAAGGCTGAAATTTGTATGCATGTACAAAAGCCTAATACTGTATGAGTAGCACATTAAGATGTCTCTGTTTTTGGCATGCAAAAGTAATTCATAGAATTTCAATTTGTATGAAAAATTTTAAAAACGAAAATTGTGACCCGCATCTTTTCGGCCACCCTGTAGATAAAGTTTGGTGCCAAATGAAAAAAAAATTTTGTCATCTTTTTTGAGAATTGAATTTTTGGGAATAAAATCCTGCGGACCTCCAACTTGGCCATCGTACACAGGGCACGGCACAGTTGGCTTACCAAGCAAGCTGGATATCGTTTTTGGGGGAAAAAGCAAAGGGGATATCGCTTTTGCAGAATAGCATACGGCTGTCTTTCAAGATGCGGTCCGCGTGCAGCCAGCATGCTGTTGGCATCCCGGCGGCATGCTCTTCCGAACAAACAAAAAGCTTGTTTACAGCGAAGTGAAAATGAAATGACACCAAAATTGGTGTGTAGCTGGACAATGAGTAATTAGGACTATGTATGAAAAATGATGAAAATATTAGGTGAATTGAAAGCGTGCTAACTTTTTTCAGAGTTAGGTGGCTTTCAAGCAACCTGGAAGCCTTGCGAAAGATTTAGGAAAGAAAAAACCATAAATGTTTCCTTCCCTCACATAATTTTCTCACCTTCTTCACACAAAATTTTATCTGCATATCAAACCCTACAAATTGGTTCCACTCCCGTCTCAAACCCTCTCCTTCCCGCTTAGCTACAGCCCCTGAAGATTTTGAATGGCGGCGGCAATGCTGCTCCAGGCGCGTAGTGCTGGATACATTACGCCGATATTCCGGGGAATACGAATATCATCGCGTTTGTTTGATGCTTTTTTTGGAGTTTTTTTTTGTTTTGCTTTTTTCCGTTCCTTTTCATGTGTTTTCTCATCTAATATCTTATGGCGGATGTTGTACTTTCCTAGTAAAGGCAAAGAGTACTTCGTTTTTGCAATTTTGGGAAGCCACCTCATGCCGAGCCCTGATCGTACAGTAGACACATAGTAGTATTCGAACAATATGCCTTTTGTGAAATTTTTGTCCGCGAGTAAAAAAGAGCCTAAAACTGGCCTTCTCCGCTCTCAGCCCCTCCCACATATGTCATCGCATGCTACAAGCCTAAGTAAATAATCTTAAATTCTTAATTCTGCAGGCGCCGTAGTAATCGAGCAATATCAAGTCATAAAAAACTCGAAGAAGTAACATTTTTGCATTTCCGGGCTACTCTAATTTTTAACTTTGAGGCTCGTAAAAAGTCATCAACTACACTTTAGAATACTAGTATGTTTCTACTGTACAATGACTAAGTTGGAGATCCGTAAGGATTTTCTGGAAGAAGATCCAGTTTTTAGGGTAGTTGAAGATTTTGATTTTTCACTCCAAATTTCATCTGGATCAAAACTAGGGGATTTTTGGCGGTAGTTTTGTAGAGCTTGCTTTGCTCTATCGAATATTATTTTAAGTTTGCAAGAGCAAAATATTATAAGTTGGAACAACCTAATAGATGGACTCGTCGGACTCTATTTAGGAGAAATTTCAATAAGAAAGTGTATTACCACAATTTTCTAGCCAATGCACAATTAATTCTTAATCCGAACTGTGAAACAAAAATTACCGCTACTCACTATATTTTTTTATATTCATGTAAGCAAATTACTCTCGCAACCGCTATATCTAAAAATAGAAAGTTAGCAGCGGAATCAGAGTCTTTTAATTTTTGTAGAGTTTCGCAATTGCCTGTTTAAACGAGTTTATCATACAAAAACCTAACTATAATAGTATAATATCGAGCGTCGAATGTTATCATTATGTGAAATGGGAGAAAAATCTAAGAGATACGCATGACCATTCAACTTGTTCTCTAGCGAGAATCGTATTCACTGTTGGTACTAGTTATATAGTCGAATCCATCCCGCTTCCAAAATGAGACCATTGTTTTTCTCCGCATGGGCGTTCCGCTGCTTCGGAAACGGATTTAAACGAACAATTTTATCTCAAATTATTCCTTTGCAGAATATGCGTTGGGTTCTAGCCGCTCTCCTTCTTTCGACGGGATGTTCAACAGCAATCGAAAGGAGAGCAATCTTCGACTGCCGGCGGATCGACACCGCATTTTGCTGCACGTCAAGAGTTCGGACACTTTGTGCAGAACAGTGCAAAGATGTGCTTTGCGGGGTCCCAGGCGGTAAGTGAAGCATCTGATAGTTTACACTATTTGGTTCTAATGTCACACACTTGAACCGTTGAATGCATCTTATCGCGCATCATAACCAGATTTATACAAAATAAGCGCGGCTTGTTTCGTACTAGCTTAATCTCATCACCGATCAGCATTAAAGAAATGATTTGGTACACATTTAGAGTCTCTTGCTAAACTTCATCGCGTTTTCGTTTGAGAATGATGTGTTAGTGATAATAACCTTGCTGATGTACAGGGCTTATCAGTCGCAGTGTCTGGTGACTAGCAGCATCTCTGCTCCCTCGGCCGCCTCGTCTAGACTCTTCACTTCTTTCGCGAACATGCTCTTCAAACATTTCCAATCGAATGAGGCCCCCTTTCCCACGCTCATTGTGGGAAAGTGATCAGGGAGCACGCCGGCGCAAGAGATGCAGAAATCAGGCATAGCGGCCGCGCTGGGAGCAGGTGTGCACCCGACACTGTAACTGATAAGCCTTGTAAACGCATTTGGTATACATGGATGTGGCAGTATGGTACTTTTTGTTTTGTTCGTGCGTCTCTTAGTACTACGTCGTACTTAGAGGTCACACGAGCTTTTAAAATCACATTTTTTCCTTCCCAGAAGTTGGCAGATCCTCAGACGATAAAGTGAGCATCATTTGTACCCTCTGCCGACATGTACTAAACGCATTGTGCCATGTAGCCCTTGCGAGGGGCAGCTGGTTAGCAAGGCAGTGCTTTAATTCTCCCAAATTACTCCGGTACCAAACTTAAAAGAGTGATGAGACTGGATTTGTCAAAGGCGGGAATCGATCCACTGATCTCATCAATTCATAGGATCCTCAGGTTATTGAACTTACAACTTGAATATCAGTTGCACATCGCTTAGTGCTGTGAGAACTGTGTACAGGATTCGTCAGTCGCGGGTTACCGTTCTTGAGATGAAGTGTTGAGGTATATGCATCCATTCTATACCTTGTTGAACTTCAATTACTCAACATTTAAGCCCGTATGCATGAACAAACCTGCGGCAAGGGCAGGGGCGTCCCTGATGAGGAAAAAACCGCAGAGTCTTTTTGGCCCCTTCATAACGGGGAACGCTGCAAAAGGCAAAGAGGGGAGGGCATGAGTACGGATTCCTTGACTGATTATGAGCTTACAGATCTGTGTCCGCATACGTTGTCATTTTCACCCTCTGTTCTCCTTCGTGAAAGTTATCCGAGAAGAGGACTTGAGCTAACTTGATGATCTCTTCAAAATTCTCCTTGTTATCAAGGCTTACGTATAGCTGTTAGTTTATATGAAACGCCGTACATCGAATACCTGAATGGTAACTTTCGATACTGATTCAAACTCGTATTTGCTCTTTTGTAGAATCTATTTTCCGAAGTCACCAATTGTACATGAAAAACGTTTTAGTGAGTGTGTTGACCCTTTGATTCAACGGTACCGCCGAGAGGAGGGCCCTCGAGGCCTAATCAAGGCTAGAGATTGGTCAGGGAGCATGCTTCCGAGAGAGACCTGCATCGCGGGCGAGAGCGGTCTTTTTCCAGCCGCCAATCACGTTGAATTAAAGGTTACCAGATGGCTTACCCGGCTCCGCTCGGCCCTGTCAATAATATATTTGTAATCAGCATGCTCGATTACCCCCTGTGCCAACTCCCAGCCCCGTAGCTTAAATTTTGCAAAAAATCGATAAAATCGATATCGATCGATGACGAAAAGTAGCCTATTGCACCCGCCGGGGCCTGAATTGTATGTGTGCCAAGTTTGGTCCAGATCGGTTCAGAAATGGAACTTTCTATTCGGAACATACGTACAGACATACAGACATACAGACAGACAGACAGACAAACACACATACAGCTTTATGTATAAGATGTTCATTTGTGATGATAAGCATCGCTTTTGTGAGTTTCAAAACCGCCATTAAGCGAGCAAGGGGAAGCGTTAGATTGTAGAACAAGTGCGAGCCTCTGCGAAACAGGTACTTATGACTCAAGCAGCTGGCTTATCCGGCTCCGCTCGGCCCTGTCAAAGAACTATTATAAATATTCCATCCCATCCCTATCCCTGCACAACGTTTCCCTGTGCCCACTTCTACATGCCAATTCCCTATTCTCGCTATGTTAGCAACCAGCATGCTAACTTACCCCCCCCCCCCTCTCGATCAACTTCCGCCCTGCAGCTTGAGCTTAAAAAAATTGATAAAATCGATATAAGTAATCGATATTTCCAGAAACTAATACTGTATTCGTAATCAGCATGCTCACTTATCCCCTGCGCCAACTCAAAGCCCTGTAGCTGAAACTTTGCAAAAAATTGATAAAATCGATAAAGTCGATATCGATCGATAACGAAAAGTAGCCCATGACACGCTTCTACCTCCCTCCTCTTCCCGATATATATGTGTGCCAAGTTTGGTCTAAATCGGTTCAGAAATAAAAATTGCTATTCTGCACATACGTACACACAGACATAAGACATACAGACATACAGAAGAACAGATATTCAGCTTTGAATATAACCCGCTAATCTGTTAGACTTCGAAATTGGATTGTTACGAAAATACGTTGTCACCAAAATATTTGATTTACAAGTTACAAGTTTACAGTCAATGATTTACAAGTTTGTAATATGTGAGAATCCAATAACGAGGAAGACTATTTTCTTCACAGATTTGTTCTTCTTACTAGTTTTGTGGAGGATGATGTGAGAGACAAGCTAGCAGAGAGTAAGTTTCATTCTTTGAACAACTAGCAGACCTGCATGAAAAAGCAGTCACTGCTAATTTCTACTACATATTTATCCTGCTGGTATACAAATCGAGCTTGACACTGTCATAAGCGTTTCAGTGCTGTTGAACTTTGCTCTTTTCACTTGCCTCGTTGCTAGTTACAATTCAAGCCGGTTGCGTGAATCACTAACGAGATCTCTTCGATTCATCGTAAATAAAGTAGTTCTTTATTAGCATGTACGTCAGTAACAAAAATGTTTAAAAGGCATCGTAATCTAAGCCGCAGAAATTACAACATCTACGCTCAAATGCTGCACCAATCAAATCAGCGTTATGATATCTGTTCCAGTTCTTCCTTTGATTGAGTCTTTTGGTAACAGCACTTTGATTTATGAATTGCCTATTAACTATTCCTTTAAAGCTCTTCAAATGTAGCTCAGAAAGAAGTTTTGAGAAAGCTGATTCGATATTTACAAATTCTATAGTTCTGGGTGGTTAAACCAAGCTTAATTTACATGATTTTGCAACAAGTAGACAACCTTTCAAAGAGGAAGGGAGAGTCCAGAACGCAAATGATTGGTTAGGTAAAGCTCTTATCAAAATTGTAAAAAAAAAGTCAAGAGATTTACTATGTATAAGTTGTGGTTGCAGTTCCTGACTTCAGCGCCCAAGATGGTCGTGCTCGACAAGGTTTTCAAAGTAACTTTAAAACAGGTGCGCGGCATGACATTCTTTTCTATTTTTTTCTTTGCACTCAAATATAGCTGGACGTAGACACAGGTACCGATCCAAGATCTCACTTCGAAACGTTCGTTCAACAACCGTCGGGTTCTACCCAATTTGGATCTGGATTTGGATTTGGCTCATCAGGACCACATGACGGACAAGCACAAATTGCTCGAAGCTCTGTAGATGTCGTACCTGCGCCAGTGCCTCCTCCGCTACCTGTACAGTTTACTTCTGTTCCTCCTGTCATCGTTACTCAGCCACCTTTTACTGGCTTTCCTACCTTGATTCCTTTCGAGCCGAACATTGATGGGGGGTCGTTCGTCGCGAGATCGCCGGAAGACGCCACTCCTCCGCCATTTGTGCATTCGACAGTGATCAAGGTAATGATGGAGTTAAGATATATTATCACATAACCTTTTCTGCCTAATTTTCTTTCAGTCGATAAACCACAGAGCGCGGACAACTCCAGACCCAAGAATCATAAAGCCACCAGACTCTCTAGTAGTCATTGGCGACTACGATGAAGATTCTCTGTTGGACAAAGAAAATCTCAAGGAGACTGTAGTTGAGACCGAAGAAGAAGCCAGCGGTGAGCCTCAACTACTTCATTCCAGTGAGAACTGAGCACGCTTGTTGAAAAACCGTACGTTGAGCAGCCTTTCCAACCGAATGTAAGCATTCGACCAGAGAATCTCTTTAAGTCGAAGTATCGGGTATACGACAATGAATTTAATGGATCAGCTACCGATTTTGTTGAGTCAGTGACTGTACTTGCAATAAATATCAGTTGGTTCTATCACGTCAATGAGTGAAGGGATGCTCATAACCATTGAAAAGTATGATAGGTTGAAGGAGAATATGTGAAAGTTTTTCACTGATAGTATCAAATAATATAATATCAATAATATGATTAATATCATAATATTTAATGTCATAACGAAAAACTGGAATACTATTGCTGGCTTCATAAGCTGTACTGCCCAACTAAGCTCGCAACTTTGCTATGTCGACAAAGAAGCGCATAAAGCTGTGTATGGCCGATTATCACGGTCTACAACACTGTTAAGTTGTAAATAAAGTTAGCAATGTATCATAAAATGGGAAAAAGTGAAGAACAACACAAAACAAATAAACGTTCTCTTTTCTAAGTTGAACCGTTATCGGCGCTGTCCATGACAGCCTAAGTCCCTTTTCTGCGTCCTTCTGGCATCGCCATAGCGGTAATGTCTCAGACATTGCACAGTTCATAAACTCGTGTGACAAACTGATGATGCCTGTGATAAAACACAGCAAATCAGAAATGCGCAAAGCAGCATTTCAAGTAAACAAACAACTGAAGAAATCCGCAATGCGTCTTTGGTCATAAACGCACAGTCAAAGAGCCTTCAAAACTTGGCTGCGCTCAAATGGCCCAGACCTTGCGGCGTGAAAACGCAGCTTCTCAGTGTTTGGGACGGTTTGTAGATCTTTCGTTCGGAGGTGCTTTCGTACAAGTCGTAGTCCAGTCAGACGTGCCCAAAGGCTCATGATATGCGAACGTAGGCGTCTGACAGTGCAAGACCTATGTCAGGCAGAATCGGGTAGATCTGCAATGCCCGGGAGGGGAGGGGGGGGGAGGAATTTTTATACGATCGGGAACTTCGCACCTTCTTCGCACCTACCTCACACCTACTTCGCACCCCTCCACTCACGCAGTGAGTAGGATTCTCCACTACGGCTGGAAGAGGGGGGGGGGAGGGACTTTTTATACGATGGCTCCCTGATCATCTTGACCTTTCGGCTCATGCCGGGATGCTAGTGATAGGACCACTTATCGATTACCGGACAGAAAATTTTGATTAGAAAAAAATGTACAAGATATTTGTAAGACATATACAGACATATCTACAATTTTTTAATCTTCTTTTGAGAAGTATTGCGAATACTTTTATTGGGCACTTCCAGCCATTGCAGAACATCTTTACTTGGTCACGCTTTAGCTTTGAAGTGATCATAATAAAGAATACGTTGGCAAATCGAACGATCTAATCGCTAGTCATCGATTAAGATTTAATGATTCTTATGTTGAAAGAGATTTGTCTGATTTGACATTCGATTTAATTTGATTATGTAATTTACAAGAGTTTCAAAGCCCGTTCTCTCCAGCTAGGTTCAGAATCTCTTTTGAATCTCAAATCAAATCAAATGTCAAGACAGGCAAACTTCTTGCAACATAACATTCAAGAAACCTTACTCGATGACTAGTGATTAAACGTTTTCGGCCACTTAATCAAAGAGACGCGTCTTTTCACACAATCTATACAGAAACAAGATCGGATAGGTGTCCAGATATCGTAGACTCACACAATTTCATTGGTACATACCGCCCCTGGCTTGACCTTGACGCAGAGGGCTCGTTACGCCGCCAGCATTGCACGGGCACCATAGCCGTTGTATCTCCACTTTTCCCGGTACCACCGAACGGTCCGTATCTGTGTCAAGCTACGCATTAGCAGCATGGCCAGCTACGTAGCGTACGCGGAGTACGCCACGCAGTCTGCAGTCCTACCCAAATTGCCTGTGTGCGTGCTGTTGGCATAGCTTGTAATGATGCCATTGTGCGTTTGACGCACTTACACTTTCCTTGGTCCTCCACTGCGTGCAATATCATGATACTGTGCAAATCTTACAGCAGTGCTGGTACCCAGATAATCGCCGGAGGCAGGCGGTCCGCAAACTCGCGCTTTTCTGCAAACGGCCAGCAGAATTTTGGGGCGTGGCCAAACCTTCAGCGAGCGGTACTTCCTTTACTGTCTAATGTTCTGCCAGCGGGCAGCAACACAGAATTTTCTGCAGGCGCTCGTCAAATAATCTCTTTCAGCGAGCGCTGGTCAAATTTTCAGCTGGCGCTTGGACGGTTTTAAAGCAGTTTCGGGTGTACGCCGAGCAAAGGTAAGACTCTACATGGCAGAGGTGTCATCGATGATTTAATTACTCAAGTTTGAGGTACTTTCTCCTAGCGGAAAGTACCTGGGGGATATGCGGTCTTCCACAAAGGACCGTGCGGCCCTTGAAAATTTTGCACATTCTCGCGGAAAGTCCGCGAGAATGTGCAAAATGCGCCGCAGCTAATCTATAAGGAAATCGCGATTGTTCTCCAAGCATTTGTCCAAAATTCGCTAAAATTCTTCGAAATATCTGCAAGCGGACCGCAAGAAATCAGCGAACTATTTTTCCGGTGCCCGCTCTATAAATCGCATGGCCGCTTGCCCCCAGCGATTATCTGAGAGACTGCTTGCCCACACTCGAGCACATATAGTGTTGCGCCAGATGTCCTCATCTCAGACAATCGCTGGGGGCAGGAGGGCACCGGAAAAACAGATTGCTGATTTCTCGCACCCCACTCGCGGATTTTTTGCAAAGCAATCAGGACTTTTCGGAAGACCGCTTGCTGAGTCAGCGGATTTTTGAGAGACTGCCTGTTGAATTTTTTTCGCTCTTATCTGTTGCAGATATATTGCTGAATCTCTGAGGAATCGAGAACTCAGCAAGCGGTTTTCCGAAAAGTCCTGATTGCTTTCCAAAAAATCCGCGAGCGGGGTGCGAGAGATCAGCAATCTATTTTCCGGTGCCCGCCTGCCCCCGGCGATTGTCTGAGATGTTGTGATAAGACCACCTGGTTGAGACTATTCTGTAGTTTATAATGTACTCGTCCTCCTGGATACCGAAACAATATCGTGCTTTCCCAGTGCACATGCGGCATGAAACACTGGTGCCGCATGTTGGAAACGATGTCATATAGAACCGACCCTAACTGGGGCGATACTTCGATGCAAAGTGATGACAAGCAACAGCTTGCATTTTGAACACAATTTGGCGATGCCATTATAACATTCTTAAAAGAGGATTTAATCGTGCGCATAGTTTGTTCATTAAGAGGACCGAACACCTCAATTAGGTACCACCTTCAAGAGCTGCTGGTCTTTTCGTCCTACTGTTGTGCATCGTTTTGGGACCAGTAGTCTGCAGAGACGGTGCCTAATTGAGGTGTTTGGTCCTCCACCCATGAAATACGCCAAGTCTTTCGTGCATGAATATTTTCTACAACTCTATGAAACAGCAATGCGAGATTGGATGCAACTGCATGATGTTGTCCTCAGCCATACATTTTGAAGCGCACCTCGCATAAAATACATCTCCTCAAACAGCAGCTCGTGTTTTATTGATTTCCCTAAAAAAAGAAGCATGGAATGGCACCTCATATTAGTATTCAAATCCTGTGTTTGAGAATGAAGTAGATCTAGCAAGAAGATAAATAGTAAAAACCAACATTTCTGATCCAGCAAGATTTTTTACCGATAGCTCAAATCTATCATGGTATCAGCCATAAGCCATAACTGTCTACAAAATGCTGTTATGATTATAACAATTTTCTGTTTCTCTCTTCTCAAACAATCCGTTTTCAGAGACAGTACCTCAAAAGATATCTGGTAAACAAGGGGTTATGATGCCAAAGTCGTCTATCTCTGAGGAAGCTCTTATTGATGCAAAGCAGAAAAGAGGAGAATCCAGTGGATGGAGGCAAACGTAAGTGATGTTATTATTGTATATAGGAATATCAACTGACAACGTTCACGTACGCGGTAGAAATGTAGCAAACCTTGACTATGGATCAGTTTGTAGGTTTGGTCATTTTTCTGGGTCGTCTCATGAGCCCGTAGCGTTTTTTACTGCCCCCGTTTGCCACGAAGCAGTTCGGCTGCATTACCTGTAGCAATTAAGTCTTTCTTTGTACAAAAGATACAGTTCGAGGAAGTGTCACAGTCAAAGGAAAAGTAGACTTTGCGGAAGTATGTGCCTTTTGTTAAGAACAACGCAAAACCTTGATACGGAATTATAGAACGGTCACCAGAGCTGATGTTTGTGTACCAAGTCGCTTTTCATAGAAAAATCTATTTGAAAAATTTGGAATCAGCTTGATTCCAAATATGCTGTTTCTAGCTGCGGCGCAGCATCCTAGAGAGAGTTATGCATGTTCTTTGACCTGCTGACATTACCGTATCATCTTCTAAGCGCTAATTTACTGTGTTTTGCCATTGGCATAACACTAAACCTAATGTCATTCTAGTATCCCAGCACCTTTTCCGTTTACAGGATTCCCTATGTTGAGTAGTATGCCAATTTTGCACAGAAAAAAGCTCGTTACTCGCAAACCATGGGCCGCAGCTAGGAACAGCTTATCTGGAATCAGCGTCTGATACTGATGTTAACTATATATGTTTTCTTGTAAAAGGCGAAGATAAGTTACCTGACCTCCTTTGTTGATAGCGCGATCAAAAATCCGCGTTGCTTTCAACGCACGAACTTAAGCGGCAGAAGTCGCATGCATCATTGCGGACCTCGTTGAGGAGGTCTTAGCGTCAGACCTCCCGTTTGGTCATTGTGTCACCTTTGAGTAATACTAACTTTCGCTCTCACATCGGAGAAAATTTTCATGATTTCCATTTATTTTACAAAAGTGATGTTGCCAACAAGCCCGTTCGCTAAAAAGTTATATTCTGTGACGTTCATTCTCAAACAGCAGTTTATCTTATTGTTAGAGCGGAGTAGTGCAAGAAAGGTTATCGTAAATACTATAGGTAGCTTGCCGTAAAATGACCGCTTGTCATATGAACAACAGCGTATTAAAATGCTACAAACTTATGGAACGACAAAAACTTGCTCCCTTCTGCCATATGGTTTGGTTCTTGCACTCACTTTCCCTGATAGAGCTAGCATCCTAACAGAGTTCTGAATGACCCTAGTCACAGCTGCAGCGGTCTTGACGCTTCGATGATTGGCCAGTTTGAATTTCCCAATTGAGCGCAATAACGAAATTTGGTTTCTTTCTGATGTTTGCACAGCATGTAACAATAATATGACGTGATCCTCAAACTCTTCTCAGCTCCCTTGATGTTAGTACAATCGATTAGATGACTATTATAGGCCTTGTTGAGTTTTATATAGGCGTTAAGCGAGAATATGCAAATGTGCCGAATCCTTGGTTTCAATAAAAAGACAACTACTACACAACAACAATCGAGACACCAAATCAGTCATATACTGTCAACAGAATGGACCATGAGAAATGTAAGGATTATAGCAAAGGGGTTGCAGTGGCACATGTTCGCGTCTGCTCATTAAGGAAGGTTTCATGTAGACAAACATATCTCATTTCGATTTAAACTACTCGATATCCTACTTTAGACACCCTAGTACTATATACTTGCGTAAAAGTTTCGTGATTGTTGAGTCGTAAAGTCTTTGAGGATGACATTGCAATACGCTGTATAGGAAATCGTGCTGCAATAAAATCGAATAGTAAATCAGCCAAGTATCGCTTCATTGTTGAATATTCGCTAGTGAACCACCGATCCGTAAAGAGCTATCCTCCTTCACGAAACTGTCTGTATCCACAGGGAACATCTTCGAGTGTCGTAGCTATCGCTGCACACTATGCCATCACACACTGCTGCTTGTTTTAAAGCTTAAAAAACCTACCGAAGAAAAGCTTTGTCATGATTTAGACGCTTTTGCACACTCACGTTGAATCCTCAAAGATGCAAAGAATTATTGGGATCATTCACAAGTCACGCAAGAACTGTAAAACGAAGATTTATTACGACCAATATAAAGATGAAGCTGCCGACTGAGCGAAATTATTGGCGGAGATCAGCAAGGTTGGTTCGCATGCACCTGCATGCGAGCAGATCCCACTAATATTCTAACACAGCACGACATGAAACTTAAAAACGATGAGATCGATGGTAACAGAAGAATTTGATAATTTATCCATTCTAATACTATTCGAATAAAGAAGAGATCCTTCTTTAGGTTGAGCTAGGCTTCTCCACGACGCTGCGCACGCGGTGTACGTCGAAAGCGCAGAGAGTACGCCGCATATGCTCCACTGCCAAACTTGTGCTGGCACGCTGTGGCTATTATATAGGCCGTCCGCGCAGGGCGCGGAGAGTGCGCAAGGTGTGTATTGCGCGTCACTCCTCTTTCCTCGTGCACTATCGCCGCCTGTTTTTCTCTGCGCTTCTTCCAATCGTGAACTGCCTTCAATGTACGCAACAGCGTTGCTCTCCGTGCGCAGCGCGGACGGCCTATAACTCGGTTTCTTCTTGGACCAATACGAAAGCCTATTTCATTGTCCCAGTGCAAGCGTTGGCAACAGAAAGCGTAATCCGACCTCACCATGCAGCGAGAGCAAAAAAAATATGTAGATTCTGATTTTTAATATCTTTCAATGCTCAAGTTTCAAGCCTTCCGCACCCTACTTCGGTATCATTCTCTTTCTTGGAAATGTGTCTTTATCTTTTGTAATCAAATGGGGGAAAACAAGAAGCAGCAAGCATCAACTGAGATTAGCAGCAGCATGCTGCGTTCAGATTTATCTTATACTTTGGAGGTAACGTAGACTAAAAGATGTTTAGAACAGCTGTGGCCGTATCAATCAACGAACTAAGTGGGTTAACGTACCCAGTGAGTAAGCAAACCCAATGGATTTTGTTGATGAATACCTGCTGTCCGAAACTCAATCGACATCCTTTTCCTTATGCGCACCCACATGCTTGTCATAGTCCACGCTTCAGCACCCTACTTAATAATCTCAAACTTATGCTTAATTCGAGATTCTGGTGTTTATTTAGGCCATCAAAAGGATGGAGTGTCAAGATAGTTCCTGTGCAGAAAGTAAAAAGTTGGCCTGAAGGAGTAGAGACGCTGCCGAAATTTGCGGTTGATGGGATTGTAGCAGGTCGCGAAAAACCAGGTAAACACCTCTGCTATAAGCAACAAGTCAGATAAACTTCTTTTTTTATCTCAGATTCAGGTTCAGTCATAAGGACATTCTCGGTAGGACCATCTAAAGTTAACATGATGGTACCAAGCAACGTTGATTTTATTGAACCGAAAGTCTTAGAGGTAAACTTTGCTTTGTTGAAGTTTTTACACGTAAAAATCTTTACAGTTCATTACACCCACGCGAACGACCCAAATGCCAATTCGACCTTCTCTAAGTCGTGAGATTTTTGATTATTTCGAAATGATGTAAGCAAAACACCTCCTCTGCAGCTCGCTATTTGAAATCTGGGCCATCTGAGCCTAAATCATCATTTGTGGGGCGTCCAGCCACAATGCAAAAAGCACTCAAACCTCAGCCACCAAACCTAGTCCCGCAATGTGGCATCGCTCCAGAGTTTACTCCATGTGTCAGCTCACAAGAGGCTAGCCACGGTAGCCGCTTTTTACACATCCAAATTCATCTGGGGTGATACGTATTTCTAGCACTATTGGACTGTTGTCGGAGAAAGAACTTACCGCCAGGATGCTTAGCTTTATGCCGTTACGACATCACGCAAACTGAGGTTTGCGCATTTCCTTTTATCACCACTCAACGTGTCTAATAATTTGGCAATTACATGGATTGAGCAACACCAGCGTAAAAATAAGATACAGACGTTAACTTTGCTTTCTTTGCTTTTTTTCAAGTCCACAAGAAAAAACAAGTATAGGTTCGCTCGGCTATGGATCGCGGCTTGTGTGGAATATTCAGTGTTGCTCCCTATTTGGAGTGTGCTTCGCAAGGAAAAGACAATTCCGAATGTTGTAGACACAGAGGGATTGTAGCTAAAACGTAAGGATTTCGGTAAAGTTACACTCCAAATCATGAACGAGTTATTTCAGCGGACCTCAATGCGAACAATTTTGTCGACCTACAAAAGGATTAACTCCATTGGGTATCCAGCATATTGTATGTGCCAATGCAATCGGGGATATGCTCCACTGCCACCACTCAGGAATCAGACTGCGACACTAACTTAGATTGCCAGCTTTTGCTGTTCTTTTGATGTTTGTACAGAACTTGGATCTCTATTGATTTGTTGTTCATCTGGAACCATTAGAGCCAGATTTCTTTAAGTTAGTGATAGTTTTTCCCACATTCAGGGTGATCTACGAGCTATTTTGATGGATTGATAGCCATCATTTGCCATTTTTACCACTGTGCTTTCAAGCTGCTTATTGATATCAACAACATTTATATACCATGATCATACCATTTCACTTTTCAAAATATTTTGTACATGCTTGTTATCTCATTATCCTGCTCATTCTTTTGTTAAACATCGACCACTTCAACGCTTTTGTATCCAGTTAGATCTCAAACTTTTATCACCTTAACAATGTCATAATCAATCACTCTCTTGTAAATACAACTGTTGCAGCTGTGTTTTTTGTAAAAAAATACATGTCTAGTACGTATACTCTACATGTGTAACAAGATCGATTTTTTTATTTATTATATCGCGACATCTTGCGCGGCATTTATTGAATTCTGGTATGCCTAGAAGCTCTCACACTATATCAAATCATTTGGCTCGAGATACTAAGAATATTTTGAAAAAAGCAGTACCTCGACAGACTACTGACTACACAATAAGCTGTATTCGCAGTCTACCAAATTCCAAATCAAGTTATGGTTCCCCAAATATAAGCCTCGAAAGGAGATGTTTGGCAATTTTCGCCTAAAAAATGTTTCTCGTTGCTGCAGTAATCTCTATATGCATATAATTGCCAAAGATAGTAACACAATTTATTCCTCTAAAATAGCCATTTTTGAAAAGAGATAGAATGCTTTAAGTTGAGCTTCGAATGCAGTAGAACTAATGAAACAAGTCATTACATAATTGAATGAAAACTCAGAGTTCATCTGAAATTTGGCGAGCATTTAGAAATGCTTTTTCCAAAATCTTTACATGCATAATTAAACGAAAGTGAGAGCCGAAAAGTATGGTCATTATATCGTGTCGATTGATCCGAAATCAATCGTATGATCGTACATGCCTAACTCCAGCTTGCGTCGTTCGCTCATTTAGCGAAGAGGGTGACAAAGACGGCAGAAGGCATGTCTCTAGGCTTACTTTCCTCATTAGATTTTACGTATACCGCATAAAAGGGGTGAACTCTTTGGCTGTGTTGAGGAACTTTGGATGAGTTGAATATTAGAAGCAGCTACGCAATTAGGGCAGTCGCGTTTTGTGCAACTAAAATGCTGGGATACATGGAATGTCTATATATTAGGCTGTTCATTAAGTTTTGCAACTACTTTTATAACTTCTCTCACTATGCATGAGACGCATCAAATTTAACCATCATGTAGGTCGTGACGTAAGCTACAAGCGCAGCCACAGTTCTGCAAAATTCTGCCGTCGTAGCGGGGTTACTGTAGGTACATATATGGTATTAGGGAAAAATTACAGATTATCATAAAATTGGCTGAAACTTTGCGTAGATGGGTTATCTGATATGCCGATCACGAAAACGACATTGGTTTTGCATGGTAGGAGGTTGCAAGGCTACGGTAGGTTTACAATATCTCACTCTAAATTAGAAAAGAGGCTTTAATTTGATGAATGGATATTCATATTCGGAAGGGCAAATAACCCTATAATGCAAAGTTTTGGCAAGTTTCGAGACTTCGACTCCTAGTGGTTGAGCTTGTCCCTATAGGGACTTATAAGCAGCTTCGCGTACCGCGTCATTTAACTTTGTGAGGGCGCGAAATCTTGAGTTGTGCTCGAATTCCATTTCTTCCTTACTGCACTAGATGAATCAGCCTATAACAACAATTCATGCACACTTTCGGATTGTTATGAAAGGTCTAGGTTGAGGAGGCTTCATTTCTACTTGAAACCCCATAAATCCTCGAATTTCACCAGTTTTCAAAAACTCTCGGATTTTTTCTATTTTGTCATCAGAAAGCGAGCGTCTTGTGCAAGTCTAAGCTCACACGGCAGTCTTCACAATGCCAATATTTGAGCGCGCCAATATCAAAAAACGTAAAGTTACGCACTAGTTGCAAAACTTAGCGAACAGCCTAATATTAGGTTGTCTCATAAGTCTTTTCATACCTGGTTTCCAGCCATATAAGTCAGTTCTTCTTAAACTCACGATAGAATGTTGAATTTTGAACTTTCAAACGCCATCTTGTAAAACTTGCTTCAATCTGTTGAATGCATTCAACAGATTGAAGCAAGTTTTACAAGATGGCGTTTGAAAGTTCGCACCAAGCTCAATCTGCAACGAGCTCCAAGCCAAAATAGCAAAATTTCCGAAATTTCAAAATAAACGAAAATCATCATATCTCAGTCAAAACAACTCTGCAAATTTCCTACTTTCTCATGCATCTACTCCTCTCCTTGGATATTTAATCATGCACTTGCTGCATTTTTCTGATGGCTAAAAACAAAAAAAATATTGCGCTCAATTTCCAAACTTTACCTGTATCACTTCTGTGTTTTCCGCAAATAGGTGATTATATAGCTTATTCACTCAGAATTATTGCCACAAATTTGCAGCCTACTAGGTGCTCTAGTCCTTAAGAAATATCGAGTTGAAGGACCGAATATGAAAAAACTTATGGGACAACCTAATAGTTGCGAGCCCAACCTGCTGGCGCGCAAAACTTTGGATCAAGCCAATAATACAGGGTGTCCTAAAAGTAAGTACACACTTTTCAATCGTCACTATCTTTCTTCCCAATGGGTCTTTTTCCTCCATTCATATACCATTCTGTAGAGGAGGCTTTAACTTAGATTAACAGTAAAGAGCGAATCATCGGTCGCTCTTTATTACTGTAAAAGGATGAAGGATAAAATTCGGCGTCTTCAATACCCTCTGAGGGCATGCGCCGAACGCACACACTAACTTCATAGTCGAAGAGGCAATTGTATGCGTGCGAGCCTATTACAGTGACTTGCGGGGGCCAGGTCAGTGACTTTCCAAGGTGCTTTTATCCTCCCAGATTACTCTGGTACCGATTTACCGGCTCCGGAGGGTAGAGGGCTTGGTTGGCCCAGGGACGGGGATCGAACCTGTGTCCGATCTGGTCATAGCGACGCCTCATACCACTACGCCACTCATCCCTTTTATTACTGTAGGATTACGGTAAAAACTTCCAGCATGTGGAACCATTGTGGAATATGCCATCTGACAATTTTTTTTCAAAATTCTGAAAAATCGTGTACTAGAACTTTCGCGCACGCCGACTCCACTACACAACTTTTTATGAGTGTTTTCAGCTTTCCCGACAGTGTAATTACATTTATGACAAATGCTGGGAACTTGGTTATTACGGTTTACCTGGGATAACTCAGGAAAGAAGCATCACAATCAAGTGGAGGTTTCATATACGAAATTAGCAGCTTCCATTACCCTAGCATAAGAGTTTTTGGCTTGTTTGGTTTTGTTTCGAGGAGAATATGGCCTCTAATGGTCTAAAATCCTTGTCAAAAATCCTACCGTAATCCTACAGTAATGAAGAGCGATCGACGATTCGCTCCATACTATAGATCTAAGCTGAAGCCTCTTCTACAGAATGGTACTTGAAGGGCGGAAAAAGACCTAATGGGAGGAGAGATATTAACGATTGAAAAGTGTGTACTTACTTTTGGGACACCCTGTACATGGAATTGGAGGGAAGAGGGCATCGCTCACTGATGAACTCGCGCCTGTTAACCCCTCCGAGTTTGATACAAAAAATCTCACAGGTTATAAGTGGAGGAAGAGGTATATCTGAGTACAATATGGTGTCTAACATATCATCACGCCCTATGGTTGGTTCTTGATTGCCCGGATCTCTCCTTTGCCTTTTGTACTATGAAACTGACTTTCCCGTTGGCTATATGGCTATAATCTTGGCTCTAAAGGGATGGCTGACTCCATGTTTTCGACTTTCTTGGCTCTAACGAAGGTACCCTGTCGAAACGCTGGCTGTAAGAAAAAAGATTGATTACTATCTACGCTCAGCTGACGATCAGCTGAGGCGATAATTTTGGACTACTGCAGGTAAAACTATGTCCCGTAGTGAATCACTCTCAGATCCGTCAGGCTAAGCTGACTTGTCCAGCTTAAAAGCAGTTTCCGTGCAGGAATCGGTTTTCTAGGAAATGCACTTACCTGGGGTTATCCGCAACGCTCAATCCGAAAATCCATATTATAAAGCGCGAAGATGGCGAGAACATGCGTTTTCCAAAGCCTAACTTCGAAAATGAAGGTTTTCGCCGAGGTTGAAATGCAGAGTCGCTGCGGGACCTACAACTTTGACTGTGCAGCATGCGTACTCTACCGCAAAGCAGGAATTCAAACAGATGGAAAGCCTCGCCCCAGGGCGTTTCCCAGCTTTCCGACCATTTTTCTTGGTTGTGGTCAAACATTATGGCTTCGCCCTTGCGCGATGGCATGTTGAAGGGTGCCCACTTCCGTAGATTAGTTCATACAAATTCCGTCATGCTAGAGAAATGTGTCATAGCATTCTGCGTATAGAACGAGATATAAATTCCATGAACGGTACACTAAAACAAACCGGAATACTTATGTAAGAGACGACAACTCAATTTTTTGGACCGACATTTTAAGAAACTTCCAAGCAACCTTGTGGCACTTTTGAAGCGTCTTGTGTAAGAAAGGATTGAAAAATACTTCATTTCTGATTGAAATTTGAGTGAAAATATGTAAGTAAAAGTAAATACAGTTCAATTACCCGTATGAATAATTTTGATAAAAATCTCATATGTGATATAAATATGCGAGCACATCAAAGATAAAATGACAAGTCTACACATCCTAGCAAAAACTTCAATTTTTGTAATCTATGCGCAATATTTGTTCTAGGGTTGAACTATGATTAAACTATGGGACCTATTCTAGCAAATACTGTATTCAACATCACATAAATTTGACTTCACTGAGCATATGGACATTATTTGAGATTCTTGGCAAGACGTTGGCGGGCGGAAGAAGGGGGAAGGGGGGCTTCCACAACCTGCTTATGTCGTAAATGCGTCATAGCTGCGAAACACATATATCGTGTAATTCCACTTTTTCGTCAGGCGTCCTTTCATGGACCTAAAAAAATTTTTTTTTAGAAATTTATCAAGATCATCTCAATTTTAACGTTAAGAGGAAGGGGAGGATTACCTGGTTCATACTTTGGTTAAATGTCACCCGTGCTCCTCTTTCCTCTTCATGTTCATGCTCTTCTTCATCTTCACCACGTACACACCACCTAAAATTCATTAGCATGGCTCAAATCTGTGAAAAAAAAGGAAAACTAACCACTTCCGCTTGTGTTTGGTCGGTCGAACCGTACTCAAAGATGATGCTTCGGATATTGGTGGTGTCGAATGTCCTCCATCGAACGTTACATCACTTTCGACAAATTCTCTTTCCTAAAAAGTAATTTCTTCGGGTAAAGGGCCGGTCATACTTCACGCAATTTCAGTTGCGACGCGATTTGGCAATTTGCCAGAAGTCTTCATATCCAACTCTAACAAACCGCACATGCATAGTGTATACAACCTACGTGGATTGATAAAATGCCCTATTTTCTGTACATTTGAAATGTGCTTACAGTGAGTTATGTACAGTTGGAATACTGCCAAATCGCGACGCGACTGAAACGTGAAGTATGCCCGGCCCTTAAGATGGGGATGAGCATTCATTCAGTGCAAACCCTTCCAGCTCGTGAAAGACAGCAGCAGTCACAAAGAATTTTTTGAGGGGGAGGGGGGAGGGGTGCAAAAGTTTTTTGAGCAATATTGGAGCCGGCCACTTCATTACGTTTGCCGAACCCGTTTGATAAAGTCAACATGACCTTTCCAAATAGATACTACTAGAAATGAATAAAAGACTTTTCTAACCAGTGCTGGGGAGGGGTGCAAGGAAGTTGTCGTTGTAAATTCAGATACAGCGACCAAGTAAATTCCCAAAAATGTAAAGTTGTAAAGAATAGTATAAAAATGGAGTATTCTCTTTCGTTCATTGCGGAACTATTCGAATAGTGCATCATCCGAAAAATGCCGGTTGTTTTTCCCAGATTTTTGCATTTATTCTGAAACATTCAATCTGATGACCCCTCAGTTCACTAACCGTTGCCTTTTCGAGACATTGTAATAGATGATGATGTTGTATCTCGAATATATCCTCATCGCGAAGCGCATCAAATGATAGCAGCCCTGAAATATCGAATTACACGCTGTAATTCACACGATATCTATGGGGCCGATCTATCGCATTAGCCGATGGCACTGCAGCAATTAGGGCTTGGGCTCTGATGTCAGTTGGTGTCGAAGGTGAAAAACTGCACTCGCCTTGCTCGAACGCTTGCATCCGAGCCTCGTGCGCCTTTTTCTTGTTGAATAGAGCTTGACCCGAAGCGTTCTTCACGATACGGATTCGTGCCAGACGGGCTTTCTGATAATAGACTTTTCAGCCTCAAATTTCAGAAAATCTGAAAACAACCCACCTTTTGAGCTCGGCGCTTGTCAGCACGTTGATTTTGGTGATAAATTCGAGAAAAGTTGCTGACGATGACAGGCACAGGTAGAGCGATGACCAACACACCGGATAAGGAACAGATGCCTCCCACTATCTTGCCCATTACCGTAGACGGAACCATGTCACCGTATCCAAGCGTAGTTAACTGGAATTACATAACCTCTTAAGGTTTTAATGTGTTCTTCATATCTATCGAGAACTATTTTACAGATGGCCAAAACTATACACCAAGGCATTCCAAGCGGGACCTATTGCTGGGATGATACTGATAGGAAAAACCTTCCACTTTTATAACTCTTGCGCTTTCTCTCAAGGGTGAAATGATTTGCCGTATTTCTCAGTGGTTCCCAATCAATATCCGATTGTAACACTAACTACCGTAACCCAAGACCAACAGTTCCCAATCGATATATCGATTTTTGGGCTGCATACAATACTAATTTATTTCAAGTGACCCAGCTTGAGTTGGAAATGAACTCAAGAAAACGCAGAAAACTTTCGCCAAATTTACAAGTTTTTTCCCTTCTCAGATTGTGTAGGAATTGCGTCACTCAGTGTCAGCAGTCCCGATCGATATATCGATTTTTTGCTGCCATTCGTAATCTGCCCATTTTGTAATTAGATGCTTCCTACTTTTTATGATCTATGAAAAGATACGAGAGGAAAATGAAGAAAGATACAAATAATAAATGTAGATGGAATAAATTCCAGAAATACGATACCATATAAAGAGTATGCATTTCCTAGCACTCTTCCTAAACCCGGTACTATCCCATTTCGCTTTTTGCTCTTTGAAATCCATCCTCTCCATTACCATTCGTGCCGGGAAAAACAAAATGGTTTATAGGCACACTCGTTATACGCATGGATATACAATCTCCTTTTAGCTCAAAACTATAGATAGTCTGTTTTTTCTCAGCACACAAAAAACATCAGACGCTTCTCGGTAAATGAATTCGCTGCACTTCGTCACACTCTTTTTACCCTAAGTCACATGGCTCAACTTTTTTCTGAGTTGGACTTTGAGAGACATCGCGGCAATGACGTATCGTGTCAAGACCAGCGTTGCACTTGCGAGTGCTTGCTGGTCTTGATGAGAAACCAGAACTGTTTTTCTTTGGAAGTTTTTGCTGCGCTTGCCTGTGCCGCTAAGTTTTCGTAATGTCAAGCCGAACAGCGGATGCAACATGCGAATGTCAATAGAAAAAATGCTTTACACCAGCCTAGAAGACGCCGTTGAGATATTTTTGAAGTGAATGCGGTCTTAAGATAAACATTTTTGGGTTGTTCCATGAATCTTGATCAGAAGTCAAAAAATCGCTCGAAACACTCTAATATTCGTCATGTGCTAAGTGTATAAAAAATCAAATCCAATAAAAAAATTGGAATCAAAAATCTCAATATTACAACCATTCGCACTGAGTGTATGGCTCTTTTTTCTCAAAAGCGAAACAACTCTGGAGCTGGAGGAATTTGGGGATGTTCAGAATTTAGGTAAGACTAATGCGATTAGTCGAAGAGCATTCGTATTTATCTTTAAAAAAAACCCCGCAACTAGCATTTGTATAAGTCTGCAAATTTTGATTGCAATTGTTTTGAAAAGTCGATAAGAGAGAACCGGATAATGAGCTCTATTTTAAGATGTATAAATTTACTTCGAATAATTTACCAAGAAGATAGGAAAGACAAGGTTAGAGGAGAGGGGTTAGAAGTGATCTACGCGTGCTGTGAAATTTAGCATTACTCTTTCTAATCGCTGTTACAATAATTTCTAATTTTTATGGATCTCTGATTAGCTTTGAAAAAGACTCGGATCATGGACAGCTGCATTCGCAAGCACTTCAGAAATATGGTAATTTTTGGTTGCACGTCCTTTTTCACTCGAAATGTTCTGTCGCTTTTGGGGGAGGGGGGGGGGGGAGTGGAGGTACGAAAAACTGAGCCCCTAATTTGCGTGGAAATTGGCGTGGCGATCTAAGGAAAACCCTTTGAATGAATGCAAATTCTGCACATTTGTTGATTTTTCAAATCCTTGTAAAATTTCCTTTAAACATCAACCGATCGCGAGAATATCATTTTGAACAAAGTTGTGGATTTCCGGCGTTTTCGTGAAGATTAATCCGACGCAGGCCGTCTTATTCACTCAAATTCGGGCCCCTTTTGTGGGAGAATCTTATTTTGCAAAACAAAACGAGCAAAACCAAAAGCCGGGGCGGCTTCACGTCAATTCCACCATTAAAGATTACGTCTGTTTTCCCAGTTTTCAAACTGACACACAAAAATCAACATATCATCACCCGAATGTTTCGATACATATACAACCATCAATATATCAATTACTCAAAATGGTTTGATACAGGGAGGAAAGAAATGTAAACAAAGATAAGTGTTACAACGAAACTTGAGACTTACCGTAACGATAGTGTACCAGAATGCAGCTGGAATTGACGTGAACCTGGAAAATAAGTAATTCATAAAAATTTGTCAAAAAATAATAAATTTACCTTGTGTCATTGACTTTCTTTTCAGCATAGTACATAATTGTGGCAAAGATTATTATAGCCATAGCTAGCGAGAATACCAGGAAACCAAGTTCGGATGCACATGATTTCAAAGTATAACCAAGTATTCGAAGTCCTTGTGAATGCCGTGAGAATTTAAATATTCGAAAAACTCGCTGCAAGAATTTTTCACTATTTTTTTTAGCCTTTTTGCCTTATTTTTAGCAGAAAATAATGATGAAATATTACTCACAAATACTCGTAAAGTGACAAACGCTCCCGATACATCTTTGTTATTCTGTAAACCCAAACCTATATAATATGGTAAAATAGCGACCACATCGATAACGCTCATTATTGATCTGTAAAAAAGATCAATAAAATCAATATTTAAGCAAATGCAAGGACTAACCTCAAAAATCGACATCTATCCGGCGCTGCGTATAACCGCAATAAATATTCTATAGTAAATATGATAACGCAAGCAGTGTCTAGCACAAAAAACTGGAAAGAAAATCGATATATTGATTGATTGCGTGATGGAAGGAACATTGAACACTTACTTGCTTTTCATAGGCATCTCCACAGGAGGTAGGGGTGTCGTTGACATACCTGAAGAAGATCAATAAATCAATAATTTGTCAGAATCGAAGATCAATAAATGATGGAATTGTGAAGACCAATAGATTGATTAATCGATTAAAACTGCTTAGCTATTTTATTCTCAAATTTTTACTCTGGAAAAAAACAATAATGATCGGGGTTGCGCTAGAATTAAACTCCGCCCATTTTTGGCCACCAGACTAAACTTAATTTTTCTTTTTGACAGAAAACCTACTTTAAAATGATCTTAGTATTTTTGTCTGTTCGAAAAAATTGATCTTCAAAAAAAACTCACCAGCAAGGAATGGTTTCTATAATATTACATAGCACAGAAACGGCAATGAAAAAACCCGTAACATAATAGAATACAAGTGCGACAGATGATGTATGTGGATTCTCAAAAGCTGCCCACATTTTTTGCTGAAAATCAATCAATAAATCGATGACTATCAAAACCACTGTGCACTCCTCACTTGGAAAGTTTGCTTGAGCTTAGTGGAGTCTATACTCTCGAGTCGCTCTTCTAGCAATCGTTCTTGATTTTCCCGTTTCTTGTCCTTATAATCTTCATAACAACAATCACTTATCAGATCTGGCATGATGCCAAAAAATGACAACTCCTCATCGTATGCAACTAGACATTCGTGGCGGGGATACTGTAACATACAACATGATACTGTAGGATACTGTATGGGATCAACATACATGTAATTTTCCAGTGCGATAAAAAGTAAGTATATGGCGGAATATATCTGGATCCCGATCGAAAAAATATTCGCCCGTATCTTCGTCATAGAAAAATTCCTGAAAATGTTTTGATATCTCATAAAAAATTGAATTAACCAAAATTACCTTCTCATTTGACCCTAATAATGTTTCAGGAAATTTTTCCAGCGTATTTTTCCAGGTTTCAAATTTTCGTCCTGAGATGTTTATCGACAATTTCTCATCAGACACGTGATCGACAGCCAGATCTTTGGCCTGAAATGATAAGTCAGTAGCTATTTCAAACCCCTACCATAGAAGGCAACTAAGCAAGACGATGAGTCCTTCAATTCGTCCCTGCGTCAAGCAAGAAAGAGAGAAACACTTCTCTGTCATACTTTATCAAGTTTGGAGTTTTCTTTTTTGTTCCCGAATATCATATTTCATGCAAATTTCCTTGCAATGTGACCCTTTTGCAAAAGCATCCCAACTTTCCGCAATAATGGCATAAGTCGTTTGCCTTTGTTTTGGTACGTCTGACATTTGACCTAGTGGGTAACCTTTTTCATTCTCTCTAAGTGTTTATTCATAAAAATCAGCTGACCCAAAATTATTGAATAATGAACTTGATATGCTGAGAATCGAAAGGAATTTGTATGCCAACAGTCCACATTGCATGATTAGTCCACGAATGGAAGACATATGCTTTTTTTTCAAAAAGTTTTCAGAAAACTGCCCAATAAATCTCGTTTAGTCTACCACATCCACAACATAGACAAGCTTGTAATTGGAACACAAGCTCTTGATTGCTCTATTTCGAAGTAGAATAAGCCGAATCACTCATTTTCATGAAAACAATCACCCTAAGCTCTCCCAAAGGTATCAATTTCATCTAACTGGTAATGTATGAGGATCATTTTTCTGGAGGCCAAATGTATGATGGCTAGTGGTCTGTATACAAAAATAGACATTGCTAAGCCCTCTGATCCAGGTCCTAAAGCTCCACAAAACAAGGACATTTGTAAATCTATGCAAGATTTCGATCTTTTACATTTCCAAGTAAGCAAAGCAAGAGCTTTTTCGGCAGCGCTGATCAGATGGTCTCATGAGAACAGCTATTACACAAAGGAGCCAATCCACTCCCGAAATTGCCTTTTTGAGATAGGAGACTACGACCGACAGTTTATTCTGAGCTTTTTGTCGATTTTCTTGGAATTGTAATTAAAAGTCACCCTGCAGTCAATGAATACAATGCAGACATTGTCAAAAACAATTTCTAAAACTCTGTACTGGGAGCTTTTAGTGATATGGATGAATCAAGATGTTTCATGCTTTAGACTGAAATTGCCACTATCATGAATTTCTTATATACAATACCGCTTACAAAATGTGCAAAATTTCCATGAATGTCGCGGAATTCAGGGAATTCCGCGCAAGTCCACGACCTTCACGGAAATTTTGCACATTCTGTAAGTATTGTACACTCACAGAATGTGCAAAATCCTTTCTCCTCACCTACAAAGTCTCTGTGGATACTATTTTCTTTTTTTCTAATGAATAATGACAATCTGAAAGGAAAACAAAATGTTATTTCCTTTTGACAAATCCGAAGAGGACTCAGTAACCAAATCTTACTCCACCTGAAGGAGAAAGAAACGGAGTTGGAATATTTTTATTTTTAATACAAGCCTTTTGATTCAAAGGGATTGGCGTCTGGAAGGCGGGGTTTCGAGGTCTAATCAAGGCTAGAAAATGATCAGAGAGCACGCTCGCGAGAGAGACACACTGCGTCGCGGGTGCGAGATGCCGCTTTTAGCCGCCAATCCCATTGAATCAGAGGGTAAATCATTTTCGTTATGATTTTCATGACATAACACAACTCAAAATTATTTCTGTTACTACCATTTTCGCTAGTAAATCAGGTTAAAATAGTAGTTACAGATCATCCTTAATCGTAACAACATAGTCGCAATAATGCTTAAAAAAAGATGCAAATAAAGTTGAGAGATCGCTCCTAGTAAAGATTGAATATTGAAGTATAGCTTACTTTTATCAGAACGATTTTCAAGCAACAATATTGAACTAATAGGTGCTCAAGGATCAGGAGGTTTATCAACACAAAAAGTAAAGAAAACATTTATCTCTGTCAATTGGTTTGCTGCTCGTTGCTATTTTTCATCAAGAGTAGTAAATGGAAAAAAAGCCTGCATCCCGAAAATAAATGTGCTCCTAGCAGCTGACTATAAATTATAATGCGCCCATTGACAAATTTCTCAAAAGTTTTGCATGTTACATTTTTTCATGTAATGGGCAACATGCACTCATGCTCGCCATCTATCAAGCGTTGCACTTGATCTTGTTCATCAGCGAATCTGGTGTAATATCAACGTTATTTTAAGCTGCACACATAACTAACACGCGAGGACAACTGACACAAATGCTTCGCTTTTCTACAACCATAGAACTCACCTCAATGGTATATACTAGCTCATTTTGTTTTGGTTTTAGGTTACGGCAGTTATTTCGTCTACGAGTAAAAGGCAGAGAGCTAAGCCAACTGAGTCTGGGCATAGAGAGGGGAATAAGGCGTCGAATATGCATTTTTTGAGAATTGATTTCATAAATTTCGTCATGATTTTTCTCAAGCTTGTTTCACTGGAAATCGTAGACTTCTGGGAATGGTAAACATGCTCTGCAAGAGAAAAAACTGCTCCAATCAAAGTTTCAGAGTTGGAGCCATGCATTTTATCGAAAAGTTACTTTCTCCGGCTTTTATTTAATATTCGCGGAACATGTAAATGATTTAACATAATAAAAATTGAATTATGTTTTGTATATTGTGCAGGTACATGTAGATGACAACTGATTATGGAGCAAAAATCGATATATCGATTATTTTAACAACGCACCATTGTCGTTGATTTGACCTTATAAATTCACATTCATCTGAACTCATTTATCTACTCAATTGTCCCCTTTTTCATTTTCCTACCTCCTCCCTCCCCTCCGAAATTTCAGTAATCTTCGTCGCCTCAAAAATACAATCATAATGTTTGGGAATGAGAATTTCGGCAACTCGAATAGCCATAAAAATTCTGAAAAAATTGTTTCTGTGCTATATCTCCAATATCAATTTACAAAATGTATAATACTCATTCTTTATGTGCTTAGACCCTATTTTCTGAGCCTTAGAAAAAGTTTTGGTCCTTTAAGACACACAGACCAAAACGATCAGGTTCCAGCTTTAGTGTTTGGTTATGACGTTCACAAAATCTGTTTAGTACACAATTAGAAGCGTCAGATGACATCGGATGACGTTTTTCGAGTGCTTAAACCTCAAGTGACATCATAAAATATTATAAGTGCACGTTAAGCACTTGAAGAAACTGTTTGAGAAACCTAATGATTTGCACTATTTTTGTACCTATAGCTTAAAAATGACGATATTGAATTGTGAGGTAACGAAATATGCGAATTTTTTGGTGGCGCTTGTCTCTACTTTTTATTAATTAGTTATCTCTTTACCTATTTATCAACTGCATTCACAGATATGTATTACGAACTTGGTTTTACGAAAAAATCAACTAACAAAAAGTCAAGATAGAAATCATCGACATATTTATTGCTTTCTTTTATATCAAATAGTGAGTCAATAATCTGAAGGTGCTAGATCTGAGAGCGTTCGCTTCGGGAACCGCTGCGGCTTCCCGTTATTTGATTTTTTTTGAATCGGGGTTGCGATTCCATATATTAGATAGATTACTCTAGTTTTCTAATGGGTACAACCTTTCCTCACTAATTTTCAATAATTGCCTATTATTTTTAAATACAGAATCATGTATAAACATAGTCTCAAAAGTATTAGATCGAAAAGAAAAAAGCTAGAAAACGAAATATGAAAAGTTTCACACGACCGAGAAATCAAAAAAATTCGTATCTCAGTCCAAAAAAATTTCTACGGACCTCCACCTTGCACAGAGAGTTACATTCTTCATCAAGCAGTCATATGCGCGATAGCTGTAACTTTCCTTTCCTAGAAATATCCAATTTAATTTTTCCTTCTGGTCTTCAAATTAAATACGATATTTCTCGAGAACTAACCCCTTGTAAAAGGCTGAAAATCTACGAATATACTTTCCAAGCCAAATAGTATAGAATCATCTATGCGAGAACAGCTTAGCATTTTCATACTTAAGCAAAAGTGTGAAAATTTTCGATTTTTCAATGTTTAGGAAAGGAAAAATTACAGCTATTACACCTATCGCGCATATGAATGCTTGATGAAGGATGTAAGTCCCTGGGCAAGATGGAAGTCCGTAGAGATTTTTAGGTTTAATTACCCAACTTTGAGGAGAATTTTGCAATGAATTTTGAATTTTTACGAACACTACATGGATTTATCAACTTATTTCACTGCTGTTCACTATCCTTCAACTGGTTACTCGTAGTCAGTTACATTGCCCTACTCGTGGTGACCATACTATTTGTATAAGATGAAATTTAGTCAGCTGCACATCTGTTTACTGCGAAATGTTTATTGTTTTCTTTTGCTATAAAGCACCTGTAGTTTTTGGACGGGGACAAAAATTTTTTTTTTGAATTTTCAATCGTTCGAAACGTTTTAGATTCCATTTTCTAGCTTCACGTAGACGTCACTTGGTACAAAAACAGTAAAGCCATTTTGTAAAGCTTGCTTTGCTCTTATCGAATGGTACCTAACACATGTCTTTGGGGTTTTTATTGCGATGACATGACAAGAAAATAAAAAGCGACATTCTGTTCTTTCTAATCTATCAGTTCTTCTGGAAATATCCAGCAAGCATTTCTCAGATCGTGATAATTTTTCCTGTATCAAATTTCCATTTTTCCATTCTATATCATATTTGTATGTCTGTGATAAAATAACATCGGAAGATATATAGGAACCTTCCTGCAAGTGAAAAATAAATCTTAGGCAGCATGAAAATCTTAGAATAAATCACGCGCGCTGTTGTTTTCTATTGTTTTGATCGTGTCATTAATCGCATTTATCTGGACATGATTAATGAGGAACACTGGATTGTGGTAGAATCCCTAGAGTTTTGAGATTGTCAAATCTCAAGCGCTACATGTGCAGAACATTCTCGAGAAGTTTGTTTTTCAAAGAAAAATATATTTAAGTAGAAAAGGATTAAGGTTAATTGAGAGGTATATTTAGTATATTCATTATCCAAAAATTCAAAAAAAAATACGTGTTAAAAAAATTTCCTGTTTCATGCGAGAGGTGTGTCCATCCT